TGACGGGACCACGGGTTGAGAATGAAGTAGGGAAAACGAAAGATGAAAACCGGAGAGTGAAATGTGGGTTTGAAACGCAGCAGGGAGATACCAATCACCCGTTAGGATGTCACCACCCCAGAAGAGCGTTCTTACAACACAAACCAGACGCAGGGCCATCGGAACTGATGCTGACTCCCTGCGACCCTCTCGGACAGGGGCCTCCTGACCCTGTGCATCTCCTAGGTTGTCACTCTTTGGGGGAGTGGGGTGCCTCACCTTTCTCCCAAAGGAGCTGCTGGTGGGTTTGAACGGCTGACCTTGTGGTTACCAACCCAGTGAGTGAGCTCTGCACCACCAGGCTCCGAGAACTGTTAGCTGGACATAATTCAGAGTAAACCGTGATGACAAAGCTTGGTGTGTGAATCCATTTAGACTAGAGAAACCAGTTCATATGTGTATAAGAAAGAGCTTTATAGACACGAGCAATTGAATATTGAGAAAACATCCCAGCCCAGTCCAGTCCATAAGTCCGATATTAGCCCATATGTCCGATACCAATCTATAAATTCCTCTTTAGACTCACACAGCACATGCAATGACGCCGAATGCAGGAAGATCACAGGCCGGTGGGTGGAAATTCTTGTGGATCCAGTGGCAGTGGAAGCATCTCAGTGCTGGCAGGGTCTCCACGTGGCTCCTTCAGCTGCAGCATTCTAGCATAGCTCCATATGTCTTGTCTGCAGGGATGTCTCGCAGGGAGTGAGCGTGTGTCCGACCTCCAGAGAGCTATTTATCTCCTTAGCACCTCCAAATGAGGTCATCACGCTGCAACCTGATTGACAGGCTAGACTCCACCCCTTCACTCGTAAAGTCTCAAATTGCTAACAGGTGATGGAACTACCACGCTTGGTGGTATCTTTTACTGAAAATGCAGCCGTGTTCACGTCATACAGCTGTGAGTTTGTGGGCCCGTGAGGGACCGTGTCAGGTTGGTGAGCCCGTAACTGCAAACACTGGGTCCCCGATCTGAAATGTCCTAGCCTGGCCAGGCCTGGTGGCATCTCCTGCTCTGGGATAAGGGGTTTCCTCCATTTCTGGGTCTTTTGTCAGGAAGAAGAGGCTCCCGTCGCTTCATGAAGAAAGCCAGGCTGAGGTCTGGATGCTGAACCATCACTGCAAATGTCCCCCGAGTGAAGCTGTGCCCTGAGCCTGGAAGGAAACACCACACCTG